GTAACTTTTTCTGTTTCTCACTCAAAATTGCTTTAGAAAATTTTTCTGCTAAAAATTTTTCTCAAGTGATCACGATGATTTTTCTTTTGATTTTGATCTTTTCGATGATTTTTTCTGAAACTCTACTGATCACGATCAAACTAAAAACACCTCTAAACAGTCTGCACTCACCATTTAGATTCAGTGAACACCGCAATACGTTCCAGACCATCCAAGGCCAGGCAATACGACACGGTTGGTGTGGTTGAAGTGCTCGCATCGGAGTATGCGAATGCCCGCTCGCTGATTCTGACGGCACCACCTTGATAGGCACCCTGAAGCCATTCCGGGAACGTGCACGCTGCCACCCAGTTCTCGTCGTGAGCGCTTTCTCCTAAACGTAAGTAACCATTCTGATGTGCCACTGGCAAACCGTATCGTATCATACTCAATAATAAAAACTCCTATTACTTCTAGTGAAAGTGTACTGTTCAGCTGCGGCTGCGGTATTCGAATTCGAGCCGCTCAACCCGTCGCAATTGGCATCTTTCGACAGATATAACGTCGTCGTCGTCTTCTCGGCTGCTCGGCCACTCTCGACGAGAATCTAGAACGACGACACGCAAATCAACGGTCCGCTTATCCGGTGCGATTATCCGATTATCCGATTGTAAGCAACGATTCGATTCGATTCGATTCGACTCGACTGTCAGGTAAACAATTAACTCACTCCACATTTCACTTGCTCATTATCATTGTCCTGAATTGCTATGAAGGATTCCACAGCGGCAGCAGCAGCACGATCGTTAGCGGCGTGCCATAGCCCAATGCATGTGAACGTTAAATCTGAAATGAGCACAACCTATTTTAGTGAGTGAAAAGGAGATGGGACGGATTGATTTAAAGGCTGATCAAAAATGATCAGTGATCAACGAGTGATCAGCGTTCACGTACCAAAATCCGGGAATGTGCAGTTACGGAAGTGGAACTTCATCTCCGATACACTTTCGCAGTTACTCATCTGGAAACACATCGTCGTAAAGAAACGGAAGAAAGGATTCGATACGATTCGAACGAAAAGCGGCAGAAATGAAATCAGATTCGAACTCGGCAAGTGGACAAAGCAGAGGAGGCAAGGCAAGGCAAGGCAAGTGAATTGAGTAAATTACCGATGAGCCAGGCTCCTGGCACGATATCGTAGAATCGGCAGTCTTCTTGAATTGGAAATCATAAACACCTTCTAGGCCACAGCTGGCTGCAGCCACATTTTCGACTCCTTTAATAGAGAAATGAAATGAGGTGACAGCTGGCTGGCTGGCTTGGTGGCTTGCAGTTTATTTCTTTCTTTTTGAGAAAATAATGATAACTTTTGAACTATTGAAAGGTAGTATGTGATCGATGAGTGATCAATAAATCAGTGATCAAGATCACTTACTGTACAAAAAAGTTCCTTGTGAGGCGCTGATTGCTTCGGAATCAAAGCAGGTTTTACGAGCCTCGTCAATACTTCGTCTGCATGGATTACCTGTAAAGTATGCACCACCTCACCTCAATGGATTGACAAAGGTAAAACTTTACCGAGATCAATTCAACTGGTAAAACTTTTTTACCTTTTTTTTACCTAAACTTTTTTACCTAAAATTTTTTACCTTGGTAAAACTTTACCACCAAGAGCAAAATTCAACAACACTGACCCGTCTGATGTGCAGCCTGGATGATATTTGCAGCTCTCAAGACCAGCGTAACGCACCGATAGCAGTAAGCCTCACCAATTCGTCTAAAACCTCAGGTCAGTGAGCTGCCGTAAGCACTGACGACCAGTCAGTGATATTCAAACAAAGCAATCACAAACACTTACTTCATCCCAAAAATAAACGAGTCATCACCAACACTCTCGTAACAATTGCCCCACGAAGATACTGCCGATGAGCTGATGGTCAACTGAAATCTCGGAACGGATATTTCAACATATGGCTCATATGATGAAGGCCGTGATAATCACTACTACTGCCACCTTATCATAGGTAATCAACTGCTGCACTCCATCTTGCACTGGTGCAGGTAAGGTGTTCGAATTATCAGCTTGCTTCATGAAGACACCTCGTAGAGAGCTATCGATTTGGCACATTACGTTGCCGTTGCCGTTTGCGTTTGCTGCAAAAAAATTGAATTTGATGAGTGTAAATTGAAACCAAACCAAACCAGACCAGTAACACTTACTCACCTTTCGTTGAGCTTAATATTAGAATGAGCATTTGCACAGCAGCCATTAGCCTTAATGTGATGCCATCGAAGTGCTGCATAATCAAAGCCAGCAGCAACAGCAGCAGAATATCTGCGATCTTCTCGTCTTGATCCGATCCGATCTGATTACTTCCGATCACCGATCACCTGTCACTCCGATTACTACTCACCTATCTGTCACTCAAATGTCCACCGAAATATTCCCATTTTAAG